TTGCATTGAGGGGAACTAAACCATCTACGGCACCTTTGCGTACATCTGGGTTTGTGGAATCGCGCGTTTTGCCCGTCTAAAAACAAGTCCCTCGAAGATGTTTGTCGAAATGACGAAGTAACAACGTAATATCAACATCTCCAAAAACTAATATGTTATTCCTGAAAAAATATGAAATGGACAGAACGATGACCAGAGAAGTTTAATACAGTACAGTTCAAGCCAAATCAGTTTAATTTTAATACTAGCCTAAATGAACTGACTGCATACTATTATATTACTATGAACATAATTTTGGACATTTTGTCCTATTTAACACCCTTAAGCAGCCGATTTGCCAGGGTGTCGGTGCTCACCATGTAGAAAAGCTGATGTGAACGCTTTCTACATTTTTTTTTTTTGTGCGCAGATATACCAAAAACATCTATAAGTAAGTGAATCCATCAAACAGCTACCATAGACTGTAATTAAGCAAAATATAGTAATCAATCTGGAAGCTTGAAAAGTTACTGACAAGTTTAGGTTCCGCGAAATAACGCCCATTGTTATGAGCACAGTCTTGGAGTGCATCCTGCTGCCTTGATCGGTTATGCACCAGCTGCTTTTCACTAGCTTTCGTCTTTATCATCTCCTCAGAGGACTTTTTCGGACTTTCCTGTTAGGGGAGAGATCAGCCTATAAAGAAACTGAGGTTCAGAGCAACTGCAAATACCTTGTGTCGTTTTCGCTTTTTTCGCTCCTTTCCCTTTGGACGTCCGTTCGAAAGCTTATACTGTTTTTTAGCATTTGTTTCCTGCATTTCTCTCATAAGGAGATAATCACTCTATAAGATATAAATCAGTCCGAGCGAATGAGCGTGATCTACTTCTGCTCAAAGGAAAAAAATCCAAAAACCACCTTTGCTGTTTTCAGTTTTTCAGAAGCCACCTCCACTTGATGCTTGACAAGGTGGATGTCACCTTCAATCTCATAATTCTTGTTTTGCAAAGCCATAGCATCAGTTTCATACTGTGTTATTTCTTTATACAAAGCTTCAATTTGGGCCTATAAAACCCTGCTGTTAAGTATGACATCTACATCAGATATTCAAACCTTAGCGTTCTCAATTTCTTTTCTCATATCACTTTTTTTACACTCCACTTCTTGGCGAAGCTTCGCAAGGTTTTCAACCTGAAAATGGGAGGCAGCAATTTTTAAGCGAAATATGTGTAGAAGGCAGTTACGCAAAACAACCTCCTTTGCAAATTTCTCTTTCTTCTCTTCAATTTTCTTATGCAGGTTATCTGATTCGTGTAGCACCACGTCCAACCTCGTCCGCATTTCAGCGATCTCGTCAGCATTTTCCTGATGTTGCCTCAGTAGGGTTTCGATTTTCTCCATTTTATTCACCTGAAAACAACAGCCTAATGAACAATGAGCAAACTCTGGCAGAAGAATGATGCACAACCTCTAACTTTGTTTCTTCAATTGCTTTCTGATAGCTCTCATGCTGGACTCTAAGCTCCTCAAATTTCTCTTCGGAATTTTTCTAAAATTTAAATAATAGCAAGAAAACCTCAGTTGCATGTAAAATTCTTTAACAGGTCGTACAGTTAGACTCTCCAATTCCGTGACAGCCGCAGCTTCTTCTTTCTCTAGGTCTGCTTCTACTTCTTTGAGGATTTGCTCTTCTTGCAAGTACTCTTGCTTCTTTTCTTCTAGTTCTTCCAAGACCGTTTTGAGTTGCAGAGTGATTTCGTCCTAAATCCCTCGATCTTATCTGCTGCTAAAGTTCCTCAAATTTTTGCTTCAGTGAAAATACAATTGATAAAGGCGGAATTACAATGTTACATATCAGAATTTTTATCGATATGTGTCTTTTTTAATAGACATTTTCATAGTGTAGCATAAATGGAGAGAGAAATGGAAGGATGAAGCGAGCTGAGTTACAAGGAAACTCACTTGAAGTTTAGTCTCATTAGCTACTTTTCTGTCTAAATCGTCCAGCTCGGAATTAATCTCCTCCAACTCAGCACTATATTGAGCTATTTTTGACGTCAACTCCTGTAATTCGCTAGCATCCTTCTCCAAGTGCTGATTTATCTGAAAATGAGATTCAATCCGATAATTTCTCTCATAAAATTCTGAATGCAAAGTAAATGAAATCACTAGAAAAAATCTAAAACAAGTATAATACGGTACACATTACCTCATCATTTTCAGATTGAAGCTGTAATAGCTTTCGGTGCGCCTCCTCTATCTTCAATTCAAGCACTTCTGAAATGAAAATAGGAGGGAGCAATTGGGGAACTAGAGGCAACAAGCATGGTTAGAATCAGTTGGTTCAATTCGTTTATCTGCTAATTACTTAGTACGAGCCGGCTGAACGGTACCGAGGTTATGATCAACACTTGAGGGGAGGAAAGAAGAAAGGAGACCCTTCCAGCTGATAACTGTGCTGTAAACTAAGATTGTTAATCAATCTTTATTTCAAATACATTATGGTGTCTCCGCCTTTTTCAGAGCCTGGAAAATCGAAAGTATCTGCAATCTATCCTCCAAACGCCTCGTCTTATTACAGAGGTAATGAGATTTGCATACAGTTAATCAGAATAGTAGCGGCGCCGTCACAGTAGGTGCGCTAACCATTGTCTAGGCTA